TCAAAGCAGGCATCTTGGGATATGACAGTCCAGCCCCTGGAATCCCATCTGAGAGAGGCAAGTATCATATTCTCCGAGAAGCAGTTTTAAAAGTTCCTGAATGCATAAAATGGAAAATTTCCTGGATGTCCATTAACAGTAATATAGATAATTAGGTAAGAGTCCTACAATGGAATACCACATTACAATTGAAAGACACAAGTCATTGTTCTGTCCAACAGTGGTCATTACACAGAAGGAAAAACAGACCCAAAAGAGTCCGTGCTGCCAAGCAATAGTGGCGCATGCTTTTAATCCCAGCACTCAGGAGGCAGAAGCAAGAGCATCTCTGAGTTCCAGGCCAGCCTGATCTACAGAGTGAGTTCCAGGACAGCCAGAGCTACACAGAGAAACCATGTCTCTTGTAAAACGAAAACAAAACAAAAGATTTGATGCTGTGGAATTTCTTATATATGAGGCTCAATTCTAGGCACAGTTCATGTCCCAAGGAAGAGAACTGCTTTATCTGGGGATGGTTTGTTGAACTAGATGGTTATAATTATGTGGTTGCTGTGTGTGAATGTAATTAACTGGATAGGAAAGTTAAATGAAGTGATTCAGTATCAATTAAAACTCAAATTAATAATAAAATTAAATGTTTCAGTATGTGCAATAACTGGGGAGAGGACATGTGGTATGGGATGGGATGGGGTATGTGGTGTGTGTGTGTGTGTGTGTGTGTGTGTGTGTGTGTGTGTATGTGTGTATGTGTTGCTGGAACACAACTGCCTGCCTGTTAAAAGTTCCAGCATTCAGCCCTAGCCCAGCCCTTACTCTATGATTTCCTGAATCTGATTCCATCCAAGAGAGGGCTTCAGATGGCCAGCCATGCCAGAGAGAGAGAGACCCAGGGATGAGAGGAACCTCTATGGGTAATAAAACCATTGTGTAAGGAAATAAGACTGGCCCACCAGGCATATCACAGAGAAAGTATTGATCAATGGACAGAAAGCTGGAAAGAAGACACTTAGGTTAACCCAGGCAAAGTGGAGCACTACTGAGTGGAAGTGTAAACTATTATAGTGGAAGAAAAATAAGGACCCTGCCCTGAGTTACTTCCAGGGTTCTTTCTCTTTTAGATATATTTGTTTATATAAATATATGTACTTCTCTATATTGAACAGTTAAAAATATCTAGATAGGAGTTGGGGTTGTGTTTATGGGTGCCGTTGGTGCCTGCTACGTGATGTCCTTTTGTCCCCCAGAGGTGAGAATTACAATCCTCAGGTTCAGAGACACTAGGCTCTCTCATCAGAGGTCACTGGGCATGAGGTATTAATAATTCTAAATTGGTTTTGCCTGATCTTGAGTGGATCCAAGCAAGCTCAGCACTGCAGAGTCCTGTGTGAGCCACCTGAATATGCATAGTCTGTTGTGCTCAAAACGTCCTGGGATGAGTCTGCATGCATGTGTACACACACAGCAATTTTATGTTATAGTTACAGATGACAATCAGTGGCCTGTGGTTGTTCAGTCTCTTGAGTAAAAACTGTTATTAAGGTATGAGTTTTCTAAATGGCCTACTCTTCAAGATGGCTGAAATTAAAAAGCAAGTTTTTGTGCTTAAAAATCAGTCTTAGGGGGCTGGAGAGATGGCTCAGTGGTTAAGAGCATTGCCTGTTCTTCCAAAGGTCCTGAGTTCAATTCCCGGCAACCACATGGTGGCTCACAACCATCTGTAATGAGGTCTGGTGCCCTCTTCTGGCCTTCAGGCTTACACACAGAAGGAATATCATATACATAATAAATAAATAAATATTTAAAAATAAATAAATAAATAAAAATCAGTCTTAATTTTGCCACCACCATTTTTCATTTAGAAGTTTAGTTTCTTGTTCTGGACATTTATGATTTGAGTCCAGGTGCTCTGATTCTGGGCATAAATGTCGGAGACATTTGGAAGACACAGCTGTAGGAGGTGAAATGACTCTCAGAGCCAAATTCTCTGGCAAAACTTTGCAGCATTGCATCCAGAACTGGTGGTTCCCAATTGCGATCCCTGCACATGTGAAGCAGAAGCAAGAGAATGGCCAGAAGTCTGAGGCCTATCCTGGGCTACATAGTGAGCTCCAGGCTAGCCTGAGCTATATGGAAGACCTTGTCTCAAACCCCCAAATCATTCTTTCGCAGTGTGGAAGTCTTACACCCAGTGTCTTTACCATGAGGAACTTGAGGGTTTTCCTAGGGATTTCTCTTCAGGTTTCCACTGAGCATTGATTCCACACAGAAGAACAGAACAGAAAGAGGGCAGCGAATCAAAGTCCCAAAACATTCAGGGAGTCACTGCCACAGTTGTCAGGAAGAGATTCAAGAGTTTCCGATTCTTACTTAATCCCTGGAAGGCTCTCGAGTCAAAGGAATATCCGGGCTTTTTAATTAATGAAGCAACATTTTGAGAAAGCAAAGAAATGTTGATTGATTTGTGTGAAGGATGAAGGGGGAGGGGAGTGGCGCTGGCGTGGCCCTGGGCACTCAGGAAGGTTCCTTCTCATGCTGTCACCAGTCCTCTGGACACAGGGCCTCTGGACTTTTGTCAACCTTGTGTTGCTGGGCTGCCCTTTTAAGCACGAGAAGGTCTGTGAAAGTCCAGTGCAGAGCACTCCCCCGGTGACCTTGTCCAGTCCACTCTGGCCCCTGCCCTGTCTTGTGGTGTGCCCCAGATGTGTTTAAATGTTTAAAGCTTCCCAGGGCCTATTCCACGCATTGAGTCGTCTGCTCCAGACCTTTAACCTCGCCACACTGGGCAGCTTTGCTTTATTGCTCAAAACGCAAAAAGAATATGCAGGAAGTGATCAGATTTTTTTCTTAGTTCCAGAAAGTTCGATGAGCCATTAATACAGACTCACTATTTATTCAGCAAAGTCCTGTGAGGTAGCCCACGCTTAGAGACTTGCTTTTTGCCCAAATGACCAACAGACAATCTGAGTTCTCTGTCTCTGGTCACCCTTCTTCCAGATCCCAGCAGAATCTGATTCTGAAACCACACACAGAGGTCTGCCCTGGGTTTCGCAGTAAAAACACACATAACTTTAGGGACGCCATTCTGACTGACCAGGCTAAGTCAGCAGGAGTCACAATTCTCAAGTCCATCAACTTTATCCTTTGGCATCTGGGGGGCTAAAGCAACCCAAGTGTGTGTGCCCTTTATCAGTTGGCTGAGCCACTTCAAGGAATCACTGTGCATTTGTGGGCTGGGGGCTTGGCACCCTAAGAAAGGTCACTGTGCTGGTTCAAGGTGGGACTGCTTGAGGAGAGAGAGCATCAAGCTCTGAAGTCCTGCTGGGCTCAGCTTTGAGAACCACCCCATCTCCCTCCTACAGTCCAGGACACTCATGGACATACAGCTTGGTTGTCAATTGTTCCGAGGGAATCAGAGTCTAGTTTAGAACGAAACCAGGGCCATGTGGGTCACTGAACTCGGGAAATAAAGCTCTAATCTTAAAAGCCTGAGACCAAGGGGCTTGTGGGAACTCGCTCAGAAATGACTGGGTAAGGAAGGTGCAGGCTGCAGAATAAACCCGTGAATCACATTCGCCTCTGCCAGCTGACCACCCTAAATGCTGATGTCATTGTTAGTTTTCGAGGCTGGGGATGAAACTCGGGGCCTCCCACATATAACCAGGTGAAGTCTTAAGCTACATCTCCCAGTCTGAGATTGGCACATTTTAACTGTTCCCCTGCAGTAGAGATAGCAGAGAGGAAACGGAGTTTCCCCTTGCATTTTGTCGGGCTTTTCTTTGAGACGTTTCACTGTTTAGCCCATGAGAGCCTCAAACCGTCCTGCCTTAGACCCGAAGTGCTGGGATGACAGGGAGAAGCCGCCATGCCCAGTTCACACTCGTTTGTAGCCAGCTCCCTCTGAACCAGGTTGACCTTGAACTCGTGGCAGTCCTCCCCCCCCCCCCAGCCACTGCCTTCCAAGTGCTGAGATTACAAGCCTGAGCCACCGCGCTAGGTCCACACTTTTCAACAGATGAGCTGCTTAGTTTCTTCTTCCTTGCGAAGAGCTGAGTTTTCTCTCCTAAAATCTAGAGAAAAGCTGCTGGCTTATTCACAGTAGAAAATGTGACTATTTTTCCATCAGCAAATGATCCCCCTTTTAGACAGACTGTAAAATGTTTCAACTGCGTGCAAATTACATCATAGAGGCTCAGAAATTTTTATATTCTCAAGAGAGCAAGGTAGGCATGCTAGAACCAGGTATTTGTACTTCTACTCTGCCGACTCTCTCCAGTTCCCCCCCAAATCCAAAAGCTCAGCAATTGCTTCTGGTGACGTCATCTTTGGAAAAAAGGATGGGGTTTCATTGGGCAAAAACTCCTGTTTTATTTAATAAAACTTACTTCTTCAATACCCAGAAAAGGGAAGAAACTCAGGTACAAGCAAGCGCTCACCAACCATCCTTTGTTTCAGAAGCACCCAGAGGTGACTCTGCATCAAGCAAAGTCCTGGTGTAAGTTGAAGAATTGGCCACCTACAGCTCCTTGGGTAAAACTGGGTTTTGCCTGGCTTTGTGGAGATAGCATTTAGACTGGGTTTTACCCTTTGAGATGGCTGGGATGAAGGGGGTAGGGTGAAAACTGTTTTAGAGACACTGCGATTTCATGGACTTCAGATCTCAGTATTTTACACACACACACACACACACACACACTAAATAGGTGTAACCATAAATAAGTATACAAATAAGGTCTTGTTGATAAATAAGGTCTTGTTGGAGCTCAAGTATTTGAGAAGTGTCATCCCCGACTACTTTTGAGATGTTTCCGTTGACTGGTCCGTGAACTTTACATTAGCTTGATGACAGGTGATCCCCAGAAAAACTGTCTTTGGCATGTCAAGGTTTGCCACAAATACATCTGACTTTCCTGGATACCAGCTACAGTGAAATTCACGGTAGTTCTGGTTCTAAGTAACTATTCTACTAAGGACTAATTATAAAGAAAACACTCCCCAAGGAATTCACACCATAAAATATTTATTAGAAATTTAAAGTGATTTTCTCCTGCTTTGGCTATGAAAACTCTTTGATTCCTATCTCTGGTGATACCAGTTGCCAACAACAACGTCACACAATTCCCGTCATCATGAGACGACGGACAGGTAACAGATGCTGTGGCCAGACCTACAGAAGACCAAACCTCACAGTTATTGAACAAATTTTGGCTTTTCTAGCAGTTGAAAACTTACTTACACACATTTAATTTTTTCCATAAGTAATCAGCATACAAATTCACTTGAATTTGATAACTTAAAACATTGGCAGTGATTGCAGAGTTTGCTGAAGACCCAGGAGTCGTGTCTCCTTGGAGAACTTTGCTCTGGCTTTCCTAGCCCCTGCTGCTGGAAAAATAGACCATTCTGATAACAAGAGTATAAAAAAAGCCTTCTGATTTGCAAAGCGATTCGTGTCTGGGGTCCCCATGATGACTGAAGACCTATACCAAGCATCTCCACAGTGCCTTTCTCTGCATCTTTTACTGATTTTCATCCACACATCGATAATTCCTTGCCCTTGGTACTGCTTACCCAAGGGGGTTCAGAAACCTGGCAGAAAAAAACAGAGCCCCAGGCGACATCGCATGGCAAAGTCAGAAGTAACTTGGAACACAGCAGGTGGCAGCTCATGATTTCAATACAAAAGCATCAAATTACTTCTCAGGTGCCAGTGGAGAGCCAGGAAATAAAAAGGCTCCATCGAAAAGCACAAATCCACCCCACCCCCAGAATTCTGAATGTCTTCTTTAGATACGTTCGTTTTTTTCATCTCTTTAACATAGAAAATCACTTCGTAATATGATCTATACACACGGTTATCAAATTAAAAAATAGCACAAAATAGCTCCCCCAAAGCATAAAAATAGACAAATTGTATCTTTTACAATGAAATTAAGACATGCCTCTGGAGGACTGAGGCTGTTGACAAGTGTCCGAGTTCAAACCGGCTTCTTCTCATAATAATTATATTATTTACATCTCCTTTCAGCCTTGAACACTGATTTACAAACCAGCCTAGGTGAAGGGGAGGTAACAGGTGTTCTCTCGTGCAGCCGAAACAGAGGGTAACAATGGCGACAGACAAGCTCTGGCTCCGGCAGCCGCACCTCAAGGGCACTTAGGGGCTCAAGCATTTGTCACATGCTTGAGGGTACAGGTGGCGACTCCAGGGGCTGTGTCTTTCCATTGTGAGTCAGGAAGCGTGCACAGAGGCTGCTCTCGAGACGTTCTCCTACAAATGAAGTCATCCAGGAGATCACCGATGAAAACACCACCGGCTCGTGCAGACCTGTGAGCTATACGGTCACAGCAGGGTACATCTTCTGTTCACTGTTAGTGTGGGCAAAGGAGGGCTGGACCTGCCTGTAGCCCGGCTGCAGGCCATCCATGAATGGGGGCACTGGTGTCATGGGCACAGAGTCATGTTGTACCGCATACCCCACATACGGGGTGTGCAGGTACTGCCCTTGATGGGGGACAATCTGGGTGGCCTGCTGACAGTTCAGGACAGAGAAGTTTGTGGGCATGTTGACGTACACATTGTTCATGGTTCCCTCGGGCAAGCAGCAGTTGGTCTGTGACCTGGTTGGGGGAGCCCGGGCCCCGGAGTTCGCACTGGAGCTGGAACTGGCAGCTGTGCTGGATTGCCGAGAGGATGACCCCCGGGACGTGCTGGCGCTGGGGATCATGGGAATGGTCTCCATCAGGCGGTTGCCCCCTGGGGCTCGGCTCTGCTGGGGATCCTGCTTTGGCCGGAGACATCTGCAACAGCACGCAGCTACCAGGGATCCCAGGATGATGAAGGCAACGAACACGGAGCCGACGATGAGAAACGGCACATAAATGGGGACTGGAGAGAGAACAGAAACGTAACGTTACGGCTCACATATGACGATCGTAAGACCCAGGGAGCAGCGAACGCCACGGACAGGTGTGCACAAACAGTGCACTCAGAAGCGAAGGACAAAGGCTGGGTCAGCTTGGTCACCAGTGCACAAGGCGCAACTCCCAGGGCCAAGTGCTTTGGAAAGTGGTCAAGGCCTCCGCAGACGTGGCAAGACACCCCCCCCCCCGCCGGAAGCTAAACGTCATAATCCCGTTTAGATTTCCCTAATCTAGCACCAGACGCCCTGTCCAGGTTGATCTAGATGAACCTGCAGTAGCCGAGCAGCCTACGTAAGTCTTCCCTAACAGGAAGCCCCGGGATCTAAATGGAACCGAGTTTACACGTCTCTAAATCTGTCTTCTTCTTCTAGGAAGTTCTGCACATTCCTTGACTTCTTCTAGACATTATTTTTAACAAGTTTCTTCTCTTACAGGCAGAACAATAAAAAAAAAACAAAACAAGTAACTTGGATCAGATTATGAACTGCTATCATTTCCAAACATATAAGACATGGGTGGTCACGGGAGGGAAAGACAAACTAATTAACGCTGGGGCAGTGAGATGGCCCAGCAGATAAAGGCTCTTGCCACCAAGCCTAACGACCTGAGTCCAACCCCCAGAACCCACACGGTGGAAGGAGTCTCCTCCTAAAAACCTGTCCTCTGACCTCCACATGCATGCCACAGCACAAACACGCACATGTGCACACACAGACTCATGCCAAAAAAGGATAAAAGTTTAAAAGATATAATATTTAAAAAGTGCACAAGTCTTAAAAACCCATCTTAATAAAAAGGGAAAATAGAAAAATAGTTACCAGAGGCTGAGAAAGAGGGGGAAGAGGGAGGGATAGGAAGAGCCAGTGGGTATTGAGTTAGTCTGAAAAATAAATCCATAAAATAGCAATAAAAGCCTGTTAGTAAAACCAACCAAATGAACAAAACCTTTTTAAAATTATTTAAAAATAAATAAATAAAACCAACCAAAGGAACAAAACCTTTTGGGATCCTAGCAGGGTGACTCACAGTTTTAACCTCAGCATACGGGAAGCAGAAACAAGAAAACTGTCTTGAGTTCAAGGTCAGCCTAGGCCACACAGTAATTTCTAGGCCAGCCTTGGCTGTAAAGTGAGACTTTGTCTTAATATATATTTTTAATTATGTATTATATTTTAAGATAAATAAGAATTAAAAAATGTTTGTGGAAGCTATAGGAACGGCAACTCTATAGGGCTAGCAAGTCATGTTAGCAAGTGGTCCGATAACTGTTCAGGACACAAGTAGGCAGGAGGAGCCTGCAGAAAACCTCAGAGGCACTTCTGTGGAATTCTACCTACATCCAAGAAACTTGCCTTTTCTGATGTGTTCCTGACTCCGGTCCCTTTGTTAGCAGGGGTTAGGCGCAGGTTGGGCGCCGGCGTGGGCATGAGGTTTTGGGAATTGAACCTGGGGCCTCATCCATGCTAAGGAAGCAGCTCACCACTGAGCCCAGCCCTCTCTAACTACTCCATCCCACCAGCCTTGGTGGAGCTCAGCTGCCAGCGCTTCTGATGGGGCAGCATGGAGCCCCACACCTCAAAGGTTAGATCTGCGAAGACCCTTCACACAGACTCCATTCGGGGAGTCATGCTGTTCACATACCACACGGAAGCACGGAGGAATAATGACTTACAACTGAACACATCTCAGAGGTATGGAACAAGTGGGCAGTGGCCATGGCTGAACAGAGCCACTTCTACGATCCGGGTCCCTTCAGCAGACCGGAAGGCTTGCTGCCATCTGCAGCCCAGCTGGCTCCCACAGCTGTACCGCGCTCATTAGACTAGCCCTGCAGGCCAAGTAAGTCCAGGACGGGAGCAGTGAAAGGCAAGCTTTTTCCTACACACACTACAAATGTTTCACTCCCTAAATTGAGATAGCAGCCCCCGCATGTTGTACGAGGTAAACAAAAAGAACACAGGTGAGCTCCACCTCCAATACGATAGCAAAAACTAGCTGAAACCAGTCTCAGCCCACATAATGAGTTTTGGGGAGAAATAACTGTTCTCTTTCCAGGATTTTTAATTGGAAGTGTAAATAACTATACGCGGTGCTACTGGGAGCCAGCCCCTAGTGGCTTAATTGGGCACGTTGTCCTTCACTGCATCAGGGCTGTGAAAGGAGCAGGACATTTAAAGGGAAAGTTTAGGAGCAGAGCGGAGAGTACCCATGACCTAGGAGCAGAACGGAGGGTACCCATGACCCACAGCGTCAGTAATGCACAAGCTGCTGCCTCCAGCTTTGATCAACGCCATCCCGACTTTTAGAAAATATTAACAAGCCCAACTTAACAGATACCTTATTGTAGCCATTTGGCTCCGTTCTGCAGGCTTTATTCCCAGACCACACACTCTGCAAAGCTGAGCTGGAGTTCGGATGGTACCTTCTCTAGAATTACCCTCAGTTCTCCTCCCTTCAGACTCTGTGCAACAGCAGGAGCGGCAAACTTATAAAATGCTTGACTGCTAAGACCCCACCAACTGAAAAGAGCTGATGGGTGGGAGGGCGCACTGTCAGCCAGAAGCCGCCTATGCCAAGGTTCTGGCAATGCCAACACACACACACGATTGTGCAGCCTCTCCACTGAGGGAATGTGTCTCACGAGGAAATGCAATCTGCTGAGTTATCTGACAGGCTTCTTTTCAAAATCTGGCTTTGACTGTTAAATAATCAAAGCCTCAGTGAGCAAAGTTGGGCACCGCTCCAATGTCATATCTATCAAGTCTGCCTCGGGAGACCAACCAGATTTCTAGAGGCCTAGGTGGGCACCGGGAACTGTGCACTGGCTCATCCGGAAGAGACCAGATCCCTAGGAGGTGAAGTTTCGCCACGGGAAGTTGCCCTCCCTGCACTCTCCTTCCCCCAGCTGCCTTCCTTCTGAGGACCCTTGGAGGAGA